CACTGGAGTGACAACCAGAAATGCTTGAGAAAAATAATACTCTATTTTCTTACTTCTCTGAGGGGGGCAAAAAGTCACAGAAAGGGTCTCCCTTTTATACTCCTTGGGTCGCCTTCCTTTTTCACGCTCTACCTCGTATTTACAGGATTTATTTACAGTGTATTTTTCTCAAACTGAATAAAAAATGAAATTTTCACACTATAGTTCTACTGCACTGAACTGCGCTGAACTGCGGCTCTACTGTGGTCAGACTGCGCCTAGAATCCTTATTGTCCTTCCTTGCCTAAGCTATTTTAATGGTTAATTAGAACTTGACTGCGCTGCATTTGTCACAGTTTCCTATTTCAAATTCCTCATATTTACCATTAAATTCGCTATGACTCGGTGATTCTGAATTCAAACTTCGCATTACTATGCATACGGCTGCGCTGAGACCCTCAGCTGATTTATTCCATTTTTATTCAGTGACATTTAGTTAAAATGAGACTTGAAATGGTAAATGAGTGAATTGTTCAGGTTTAAAACCGAAAGAAAAAGTTGCTAGTAGTCAAGAATTACTCAAATGAATGTATTATAGCTCTCCACTTCATTAGAATATTGTTCCCTAAAATTCCCACCATGGTCTGTCATAGTTTAGTGGTTTTTGTGGATTTCGTTCATCTTCCCTGATTCCCCCTTGTATTATCACATCCTAATCCTCCATATGTATTGTTCATTGTTATAGTAGGTCGTCCTTGAAGATTTCATATTTTTATGTATTTTATTTAGGGCTCTGGACCTCTTGAAGCTGTCTTCCCGCGCATTATCAGGTTTCTAACTTCATGTCCTTGTATCTCATTCATTTCTGGATGGTTTCTCACGTTCTTGGTATCATAAATTTTCATTTATTCCCACCTTTCCAATGGTACTAAAGTTGTGTTCTGTTTCCTGGTATTCGTCGAGTTAGCAAAAGTTTGCGCACACATTTGGTAATCACGTGCATCATTCCCATAGTCATTCATATGCAGGCGCTGTTTCTGTTTAATTGTTCGGGATTTATGATATGCGCAGGTGTTTATATCTTTCATATGGGCTTCTGTGATTTATTTCAGATTTTTCCCTCATGATCTAAGGTTGTTTTGCACTTTCTGTGCTTTGTTTTGACCAGGCTCTTCCTTATTTGGATGGAAATTGGTCTTCGTGATCTGCCAAAGTGCGGATCTCGGTTCCAACAGCCGGTTCCCTTCGCATTGCCACCCTCACGTGTCATTAAACATGATGCAGATTTCTATATTCCCGTCATGGGTATAACTTCACAACGGCGGGACCGTTTGGGCTGAAAATTTGCATAACTATAATTCCCTATTTTTCATAATTTCCGTGTAAATTTCGTTGTATGTTTCAATTATGGATACTTCATAAACATCGTCTTTTCCCTGAGCTCGGGCTTTTGATGTCGCTATTCCTGTTATTGGATATCTCACTAATGCATAATCCTTTTATTATGAAAATTTGGGTGGATTAAGATTAGATCCCTTCCTTTCTAATGGGCCATCAAGCTCGTCTCGGTCGTTACTGGTTAGTCTTCACGCTTGCTTTTTAAACGTTGTCCTCGTTTTGCAGGAGTTTTAGTCATATCTCCATCGTTTATGGGTAGTTTTCCCTGTAATTACTTTCATTGGGTCCGTTTGGGGGACATCTACATTTCCTATTATAAACACGACTTTGAATTTTGCATTAGTTCCTGAGGACTCCTTGTTCCGTGGTACTTCCATCCTTGGCTAGTGTGCAGATGTGGGAAAGTAGTTTCCGTGGAGGTTCTCTGATTGTTTCTATAGTCAAATCTTGGTCTATTGTCCTTTAATATTTGCTATAAATTCCCCCGAGAATTCCGTCTTGTTGATGCTAAGCTTGAAGTATTTTTGCTAATTTTCTTTCTTTCAATTTATCGCATATAGTCATAATAATTCGTAAAAATTCGTAAAAATTCATTAAAATTCAGGTCCTTCTATTTTCTCATATCTACTTGTCGTATGGGGTTTTGTGATTTATCTGGCATATTTCCATAATGGGTTTCCATAGTGTGACCGTTATTTCTCCTACAACGCCGAGGCTCCAAACTTCTTATGGGCTGATGCTTTCGCCATGGTGAAGGAGAGAACAAAGGAAGGTCAGTTGGTAGGTTCAAACGAGACCACCACCAAGCTGTTCCCTGGTTCTTTAGTTAGGATGGGGAAGTGTACTAGTATTATTTGTTGTAATTATAGTACCAATCTGAGTGTTTTGGCTAATTCTTATGGGTTAGTCTAAAAGTTTCTGAGAATTGACTTACAGATAAACAAAGCCCTGCGGAGCTGTTCCTCTATTGTAATTTCTCAATTTGCCTGGGTGTAATACTGTGTAGGATCGTTAAATTTGGATTTTAACTTGAATTAAATCTTTTACTTGGTGAATTTTCAAAGATTCTACTCAGTTAATGGGTATAGATCGTGTCTGTAGTGTCCCTTGACCTTGTCTTATTTTTATCTTATTTTTATTGCTTGTTTTAACAGTAGCAAAATAACTGTTTTGTGTTTACACTTTGAAATCTGGAGTGTTAACCAGCTCTCCTGTTGAAATATTTACTTAATATTCCTCTCCCTAATTGCTGCCTTTTACTACAGTGGCAATCTTAACTGTATATCACTTTTTCGCACTGGAGTGATAACCAGAAATGCTTGAGAAAAATAATACTCTATTTTCTTACTTCTCTGAGGGGGGTGAAAAGTCGCAGAAAAGGTCTCCCTTCTATACTCCTTGGGTTGCCTTCCTTTTTCACGCTCTACCTCGTATTTACAGGATTTATTTACAGTGTATTTTCCTCAAACTGAATAAAAAATGAATTTTTCATGCTATAGTTCTACTGTGCTCAGCTGCGCTGAACTGCGGCTCTACTGTGGTCAGACTGCGCCTAGAATCCTTATTGTCCTTCCTTGCCTAAGCTATTTTAATGGTTCAATTAGAACTTGACTGTGCTGCATTTGTCACAGTTTTCTATTTCAAATTCCTCTTATTTACCATTTAGTTTGCTATGACTCAGTCATTCTGAATTCAAACCTCACATTGCTATGTGTACGGCTGCGCTGAGACCTTCAGCTGATTTATTCTATTTTTATCCAGTAACATTTAGTTGAAATGAGACTTGAAATGATAAATGAGTGAATTATTCAGGTTTAGAACCGAAAGAAAAAGTTGCTAGTAGTCAATAATTGTTCAAACGAATGTGTTATAACTCTCTGCTTCATTAGTATATCGTTCCCTAAAATTCCTGCCATGGTCCATCATAGTTTAGTGGATTTCGTGGATTTCATCCCTCTCCCCTGATTCCCCTTTGTATTATTGCATCCTAGTCCTTCATATGTATTGGTCGTTGTTATAGTAGGTCGTCCTCCAAGATATCATATTTTTATGTATTTTATTTGGGGCTCTGGACCTCTTGAAGCTGTCTTCCCTCGCGTTTTCAGGTTTCTAACTTCATGTCCTTGTATCTCATTCATTTCTGAATAGGTTTTCACGTTCTCGGCATCATAAATTTTCATTTATTCCCACCTTTCCAATGGTACTAAAGTTGTATTCTATTTCTTGGTATTTGTCGAGTTAGCAAAAGTTCGCGCACGCATTTGGTAATCACATGCATCATTCCCGTAGTCATTCGTATGCAGGCGCCGTTTCTGTTTAATTTTTCGGAATTTATTGTATGCGCAGGTGTTTGTATCCTTAATATAGGCTCCCATGATTTATTTCAGATTTTTCCCTCATGTTCTAAGGTGTTTTTGTACTTTCCATGCTTTGTTTTGACCAGGGTCTTCCTTATTTGGACAGAAGTTGGTCTTCGCAATCTGCCGGAGTGCAGATCTCGGTTCCAACAGCTGGTTCCCTTTGCATCACCACCCTCACGTGTCTTTAAGCATGATGTGGATTTCTATATTCCTGTCATTGGTGTAACTTCACATCGGCTGGACCGTTTGGACTGAAACTTTGCATAACTATAGTTTCTTATTTATCATAATTTCCGTGTAAATTTCGTTGTGTGTTTTAAATATGGATCCTACGTGAACATCAGACTCGTACCCAGTCTGAGGAGCTCCGTGGACGCGCAAAATAATAGCTTTTTTACGCAATGTAAATAAACGTTCTCACGCTAAATCGTTATTCTCACGTTTTGCTTCCGCCATTAAAGTCACGTTCTGTACTCAATACAAAAAATCACATGGTACGGAGTTAAAGACATAGCCGATCACCTACTCCGAAACTTGCCCGCGACACTTTGCTCCTCAGACTGGGGCAAAATGTAGTATGGCAGTGCTACGGCACTTTCCGTCCCAAAGTTTCCTGCACTAATCCTTGGCCCAATTAGGCACCCTCCCCCGCCCTCCATGTCTGCGTCCCCTCTGACTGCAACCGACCTGATATTACGCGCGCAGGAGATCCTGAGGTGCATATCTGCTCAGGGGATGATGGTGACCATGTTTATATCAGTACTACTCACCTATAAGCACTTCCTTGACGAAAAAATTGAACTGGAATCCACAATACTGCTTGCACATACTCGCAACACACGTGCAGAGGCTGCAGTTTTACATCAGTTTGTGTTAGATACATCTACATCGGTTTACAGTCAGGAAGTCCAGGATCTCATAGGGACAGAGAGTAGTCTGCGCATGAGTGCATATAAGGCACGCGTGGATCAACTGGAAGCCGGGCGGTGAAGTAGGTTGAAAGAGTTATTCCAAGCCAAATCGCCAGCCGTTTGGGGCCTTTGCCGCCGACTATTGGATGTAAATGGGGCTTCAGGGTTATGCAGGAGAGCTAGACCTGTCCCAGTACCAACCGATTTTGCCGATGATGAAACCCAAGATGCTGTATCTGGGGGGAAAGCATGCAAGGGCACATCCGGAGAAAGAAATCATGCACTTCTTGACACAGTAAGCACTTCAACAATTGGCATGAACATGAAACAACAAGACTTACCGTGATCATAGAAAGGAGCTGTAATCATATCAATACTACTCCATAGTTCCAATGAGCATTGCAATGCGATGCAAGCCAAAAATGCATTCTATCTTACTGCAAGCCAAGCATCCAAATCAGTCCGAGAATGGGCAGTGCATGCGGGCCTCTCAGTCTCACCAAAGTCCACCGAAAACATTCGGAACTCGTTAGTGAAGACTCAGAAGATTATGAACTTGGAACTTGGACGTACTAGGGTACTCAATCTGGCATATGACAATTGCGACTTCAAATTCGGAGTTGGTCAGTCAACGGATCTCAATGAACGTACCTTTGAGAGTATCACCACTGGCGTGTTCCTCAATCCCCCTAGTCAAGTGCTCCCGGAGCATCTTGAGTATGCCGAAATGATCTGGGAACGTCACAACAATAACCCGGACGCAACAAACCCATACCCTCCCATGACTCTATCCGATGTTATCCCAACATCACCCACTATCCAGAACCTCATAAAACATTGTCAGTGGCACATCAAAGCCATACTCATAGACGAATACTTCCCTGAAATGCGCTCGAACCTTGGGCAACCATGTTCAACATTTAAACTGAGCCCGGAAAAGACAACATACTCAACAGCGAAAGCAATGTATGCGAAGGCATCAACAATCGATGGAAACATCCAAGCTCTTCTGTCGCTGCTGGAACAGAGTGGGATTATGGACGCTGCAACATATGAAAAGTACATGATCTTGGTTCATGGCGATCTCGGGTCATTGGAGAAAATTGAGACCATCTTGCAGTCACGATGCATCGAAGAGGATGTTTTGGAGCGTATGCATTATCTGCTACCGATACCTGGGCTATTTCACGTTAGAATGGCATGTGTGGATGCTATTAATAGGATTCACACAATGGGACACAACTTACGCAATGATCCAAATGGCCTCTACAAAAAACTCGCCCATCTCTTCCCCAATGACGTTGCAAAACTCAACAAAAGCATTCCCCCCTTCCGTATGATGAACGATGGAATAATGTTCATCACAAAGACCACGATCCTCGATGCTTGGACAGAGAACGTCGGTGGAGACCTTCGGAATTACGTAGAAAGCAAACCTGATTGGGAGGACATTGAGAGAAGGGCAAAGACCATTGTGTCTGCATATTTCGAAACAGACACAATATCATCTGATCAAAGACGTAACAAGGAGTGTGACGAGCGATGGATGAACCAGGTCCTATTCAATTGCGATACCATGTATTACCGAATCCTCGTTCATGCAGTGAACTATGGAATGGTTGATATCATCGTCGATGTCCTCTCATTCTGGGTGCCGGTGTTTCAGGCCTGTGGAAAACACAAATATGCGAAACTGTTAGAACTGGGCGGGAACAGACGACTCCGGAGTGGAATCGGAGACTTAGCGTGGAGGGACCTTGGCCTCAGCGACTCAAGCGGAGCGCTGTGCCATTGCTGTTTGTCCATTTGGTCCTTAATTTCACAGTAGGTGAGCAGGAAGTCTCTTGGGGGCATTTCAGGTCGATTTCGGACTAAACCAAAATGAGTATGTACAAGCGCCGATATATATAATGGAAGGGGCAAAAGCACAAGGAGAACAAAGGGTAACCGAATCGGAACGAAGACGTCCGAACGGGAACAAAGGGTAGAAGAAGCGGAGTGGTACCGAAGGTCATAAGGCAGGACCTGTGATACGTCCGAAAGGAGGTAGGGAGGGCGAGGCCCAGAGGGGCAGGAGGATGAGGGGAAGTGGGGATGATGACTAACTGGCTAGAATAGGAAGAAGCAGTAGTCCAAATAGGGGTGATGGGAAAATGCGAGAAATACATTACAAGCGGCGAGAGTGCCGAAGGCAGTCCGCGAAGCTTGGGGGTTGCGGAGCTTACGGAGGTTACGGAGGCGGGGTTGAAAGTCCGAGGGATATTGGCAATGGTGTTTACATAGTATGAGGTCACCAATGCAATGGACTAAGACCGAGGTGGAGTCATAGTCCGAGGTAGGGACTATGACGGAGGCTCGGAGTAAGGTACGAGCGGTGTCCGAGTGCGAAGTACGGAACAGTGGTGGAAGGTCGTAACTTGGCGGAAGGGTGGCGGAGGAGTAACAGAGGGAGGAGAGAGGGGAAAGGTAAGGGAGAAGGAGTGGCAGGAAGGAGAGTAGTCAGGTCCGAAGGTGAGTATCGGAGCAGACGGGGGAAGTGTAGGAGGATGACGGGAGGGTGGAGGTGTTGTGAAGGGGGAGCGGAGTAGTAGGAGGGTGGCGAGAGGGGCAGTGTTCGGTCCGAGATGAGTATCGGAGCGGACGGAGATAGGGTCGGGGAGGTAAGGAGGAGGTGTGTTGCCAGGACCGAGGGTGAGTATCGGAACGGCAGCGGTAGGTTATGACTCCGGAGGTGAAGAGGGTGGAGGTCCGGAAGTCGGGTCGGGGTCGGGTATGCACGGATATGACAGAAACACTTATCCAAGTTCATATTTCAACTTAGGCAACTTCCCGATCCATTAAGAGATGCCGTGATGAGGTGTTGGTTGTGCTGTCCATCTGGAAAGGAGGGTGGATTTCGAGCAATTGACTGGCTTGTGGAACTAATGAACCTATATACAAAGGTGTGGCGGATGTTAATCAGTGATGACAAATATTAACATTGAAGCACAGGTCATGTATGGTGGCTCTGGTTCTGGAAGGACAATCAACTATGTGATTAGTCAATCATCAATCATTAATGCATACCGTCAGTGCATCGAAGACATTGAGCACGATTTTCACATACCGGAGAAAATGCTCCATCATGCAGCTCCTGACATCCAATCTAGGCTGGATGGTTTAAAAAGGACCCTTCGTGAGCTCCGGCCACACAGGTACGAGAGAGGGCGGAAGGTACCTTACTTCATAGAGGATTACTTTCAGAAGGGGTGCAAGCAATATTTGAGGGGAACGATGTGGAGTTCTGTTAACATGGATAACGAAGAAAATGATGAGGGACCTGAAATAGAAGCCATTGATCTGGGAGCGTAAACCTCAGTGGCGCAACACCGATGTCGAGGGCGGTACAGCATTCTCCTTGTCTTTACATTTTGTCCCTACAAGAAAAAAGGCTGATCTATCTTATTGACACATCAACGGTACAAAACTACTCACGAGTATGACCTGTTCGCCCACATGTACCACACGGTGCAGAGCATGTTCGAGCTAGGGCGCAAATGCATTTGTACTGCATGGAAAGTAACATAAAACGTACCATTGTGACCACGGGTTCAACAGTTTGAGCATGTGCTGATTCGAGAATTTTCGACAGCTTGGGATGCATTTTGAGCGATGGTGGGTGATTCAGGGGGGAGTGGAAATATCTTGTGCACAATGTCGAGTAATTCCAAAGCATAGCGTTCGCGATATACCCAATCAACAAGTTGAATGAACTTCTCGCAACATGTTAGCTTGTTCAGATGTGCGAGATAGATGATGTCGTCAATTACATCATCTGGGAGAATGAGCCAGTCTCCCACCCACATATCATCATGGCGGTCAGGGTGAGCGCGGGCAAATTCCTCCTTTCTCCACTCATAAAGTGCCTTGTCAAGAGCAGTCGACTGGGCATCATCCTTCTCGTATTTGGACTTGGGTCCGACATGCTGTGGGTTCCACTTACTGGGAAGTGGTTCAACTTCGGCATCAAACATCCCTGATGTGTGTCCAGGACTGTGTAGGTCACAGCAACTTGTCGACTTGCGTGGATCACACCATTTGCAACAGCCGCGTGGCGTCCCTGGTGGGGATTTCAGGGTGGGAAAGCTGGGAAGGTAATTCAAACTCACTTGTGTGGGTATTACCGAAATATATGTCGAACACTAACCTACGGCAACCCCTCCTAGGATCACCATCTGGCAGCAGGTCAGCATTGATAAATGCATCAAGACCTGGGTCAATATTCTTGCAGTCTGCTGGCCCCCTCTTCGCCTTCACCATTCTTGGTTTATTCCGTGTTGACACATGAACGCCACTGTCTTCAACATGCTCCACAGATGGCTCTATCACCTCATCATCAATAGCGTTGGGTTGATTGTGATCTACCGCTCAAATGTGAGTCTGCCCAACAAACCTCGTTATCGTGGGAAGGACTCACCAATGGCATCCATGCATTCTATCCCATCGGTGGCGCTATTCCCACCCTCCATTGCCTTACACACCACATCAAAATCGATATCCGGAAACTCATCCCACATTTCATCCTCCGATACACTGGATGTTTCCAAATCACAATGCCCCTCATCAGGGTGATCATTGTCGCTTGACGGCCAAACATCCTCTCGCAATGGCAGCATCGGATCTGGTTGATGAAGATCAAGCAGATATTCGTCAAATTCATTGTTAGATGGGGCAACTTCGTGGGCATCCACGTGATTAACCATGGTAAGCAGTTGCCTTGTTCGCTTCCTTGGCTGGTCATCTGTGCTTGTGATTTTCTGCATAGTGGCTTTACGTTTTTTCCGTTTGGCCATCTTCTTTGCCCTCCCTTCTCGCTCAAGGCGGGTTTCTTCGAAATAATCTCGTGGTGCAAGAAGGATGACAATACCACTCATGTCCGGGTCCCTTGCTGCACGACCAAAGCGCTGTGCAAGCGTACTCAAGTTGTCAGGCGGGCCAAATTGGACGAGTCTTGCGATATTTGGTAAGTCAAAACCCTTTGTTTTACTGTCAGTGTGGGTATCGCATGTGGAGTGCTGCACTTACCAACCCCAAGGATTCTGTGGCGGTTATTCCAATAAGTCTTCCATCCCTAAACATTTCAACTGCTTGCTGTTTGTGTTTATCCGACATCCCTGAGTGGACCCAAATTATCCTCTTCTTTAGTGACCCGTCCACTCGAGACCGGAGGTAAGTAGCACTCCGTTCTGCATCATTTCGAGAATTGCAGTAAACAAAGAATGGCACTGGCATGACAGGGTCGGATTCTTTGAGTCCCAACGGCACAAGGAACGCAAGATCTTTGCAGGATTCTCTACTGTACTGCATTGGCCGTACACAGTAATGTAAGTTTGGACGATCATTTGAACAGCGGATCCACTTTGTATAATCCCCACCCTGCGTAGTATGATATGGATCCATATTAATGGTGGAAAGTACCTTGCTGCAAGTACGTGCATCGAGGGTTGCGGATGTAAGGTACCATTGGCATCGGGATTGAAGGTATGCATACAATGAGTGAAGATCCGCATATTTAGAACGGAAGGACAGCCACTGTGTAACGCAGTGTGCCTCATCAACTATGATTCAGCTGATTTGAGAAACAAATTTTGCACTCCTCCAAAGTAGCTTCAAGAGTTCACCGCAGAGCAAATCCGGTCCAAGGATAACGTATCTGTATTTGATTTCCGCTATCTCCTGTACCGGAATTAGCTTATTGGTATGTGGAGAGTGAAAGAAACATACATTTATTAGATCTTTACTGATGTTTTTGTCAGGGTCACGTCCGCGGTCGAGGCGGTCCGGGAGTAGCGTCCGGTGCTGAGGACCTCATGGGGGGTGGATCGGGCGTGCGTACTGGCAGCCCCAATGTGGGACGGCGATCCCTGGCCACTTAGACTGAAGTGGGAATGTTGAGAAGAAGGTTACTTCTTCGGTTCCCACCCCAGGTGTGTTTATATACATGCGGCTTGGGTCACATGAGGTCCGCCACGTCACCCCGCATACAGCCGCAGTCACCCGGGTGTTCCCGTGGGGGATCCCAAGGGTGTATGCTGCACGCTGAAGGAGAGAACGAAGGAAGGTCAGTTGGGAGGTTCAAACGAGACCACCACCAAGCTGTTCCCTGGTTCTTTAGTTAGGATGGGGAAGTGTACTAGTGTTGTTTATTGTAAATATAGTACCAATCCGAGTGTTTTGGCTAATTCTATTTTTATGGGTTAGTTTTAAAGTTCCTGGGAATTGACTTACAGATAAACCGAGCCCTGCGGAGCTGTTTCTTTATTGAAATTTATTAATTTGTCTAGGTGTAATTTTGTGTAGCGTTGTTTAATTTGGATTTAAACTTGAATTTAATCTTCTACTTGGTGAAGTTTCAAAGATTCTATTCAGTTAATGAATTTGGATGGTGTCTGGAGTGTCCCTTGAGTTCGTTCTATTTTTGTCTTATTTTATTGCTTGTTTTAACAGTAGCAAAATAACTGTTTTGTGTTTACACTTTGAAATCTGGAGTGTTAACCAGCTCTCCTGTTGAAATATCTACTTAATATTTCTCTCCTTAATTGCTGCCTTTTACTACAGTGGCAATCTTAACTGTATATCACTTTTTCGCACTGGAGTGACAACCAGAAATGCTTGAGAAAAATAATACTCTATTTTCTTACTTCTCTCCTTAATTGCTGCCTTTTACTACAGTGGCAATCTTAACTGTATATCACTTTTTCGCACTGGAGTGACAACCAGAAATGCTTGAGAAAAATAATACTCTATTTTCTTACTTCTCTAAGGGGGGCGAAAGGTCGCAGAAAGGGTCTCCCTTTTATACTCCTTGGGTCGCCTTCCTTTTTCACGCTCTACCTTCTATTTACAGGATTTATTTACAGTGTATTTTTCTCAAACTGAATAAAAAGTGAAATTTTCACGCTATAGTTCCGCTGCGCTTTGCTGCGCTGAACTGCGGTCTACTGCGGTCAGACTGCGCCTGGAATCCTTATTGTCCTTCCTCGCCTAAGCTATTTTAATGGTTAATTAGAATTTGTCTGCGCCGCATTTGCCGCAGTTCCCTATTTCAAATTCCCCATATTTCCCATTAAGTTCGCTATGACTCGGTCATACTGAATTCAAACCTCGCATTACTATGCGTGCGACTGTGCTGAGACCTTCAGCTGATTTATTCCAATTTTATTTAGTGACATTTTAGTTAAAATGAGACTGAAATGATAAATGAGTGAATTATTCAGGTTTAAAACTGAAAGAAAAAGTTGCTAGTAATCAAGAATTACTCAAACGAATGTGTTATAGCTCTCTACTTCATTAGAACATCGTTCCCTAAAATTCCCGCCATGGTCCGTCGTAGTTTAGTAGTTTTCGTGAATTTCGTTCATATTCCCTGATTCCCTTTTGTATTATCACATCCTAATCCTCCATATGTATTGTTCGTTGTTATAGTAGGTCGTCCTCGAAGATATCATATTTTTATGTATTTTATTTAGGGCTCTAGACCTCTTGAAGCTGTCTTCCCGCGTGTTTTCAGGTTTCTAACTTCATGTCCTTGTATCTCATTCATTTCTGGATGTTTTCTCACGTTCTTGGTATCATAAATTTCCATTTATTCCCACCTTTCCAATGGTACTAAGGTTGTGTCCTATTTCCCTGTATTCGTTGAGTTAGCAAAGTTTCGCGCGCACATTCGGTAATCACGTGCGTCGTTCCCATAGTTGTTCGTATGCGGGAGCCGTTTTCGTTTAGTTGTTCGGGATTTATGATATGCGCGGGTGTTTATTTCTTTCATATGGGCTTCTGTGATTTATTTCAGATTTTTCCCTCATGATCTAAGGTTGTTTTGCACCTTTCGTGCTTTGTTTTGACCGGGCTCTTCCTTATTTGGACGGAAATTGGTCTTCGCGATCTGCCGAAGTGCGGATCTCGGTTCCGACGGCCGGTTCCCTGCGCATCGCCACCCTCACGTGTCATTACACATGATGCGGATTCCTATATTCCCGCCATGGGTATAACTTCACAACGGCTGGACCGTTTGGGCTGAGAATTTGCATAACTATAGTTTCCTATTTTTCATAATTTCCGTGTAAATTTCGTTGTATGTTTTAATTATGGATCCTACGCAATCATCGTCTTGTCCCTGAGCTCGGACTTTTGATGTCGCTATTCCCGTTATTGGATTTCTCATTAACGCATGATCCTTTTATTATGGAAATTTGGGAGGATTAAGAGTAGATCCTTTCCTTTCTAATGGGCTATCAAGCTTGTCTCGGTCGTTACTAGTTAATCTTCGCGCTTGCTTTTTAGACATTGTCCTCGTTTTGCAGGAGTTTTAGTCATATCTCCGTCGTTTATGGGTAGTTTCCCCTATAATTACTCTCATTGGTTCCGTTTGGGTGACATCTACATTTCCTATTATAAACACGACTTTGACTTTTGCATTAGTTCCTGAGGAATCTTTGTTCCGTGGTACTTCCATCCTTGCTATGTGTGCGGACGTGGGAAAGTAGTTTCCGTGGAGGTTCTCTGATTATTTTTATAGTCAAATCTTGGTCGATTGTCCTAATTCTTGGTTTAATATTTGCTATAAATTCCCCCGAGAATTCCGTCTCGTTGATGGTAAGCTTGAAGTATTTTTGTTATTTTTCTTTCTTTCGATTTATCGTGTATAGTCGTAATAATTCGTAAAATTCGTAAAAATTCAGGTCCTTCTATGTTCTCATATCTACTTGTCGTATGAGGTTTTGTGATTTATCTGGCATATTTTCATAATGGGTTTCCATAGTGTGGCCGTTATTTCTCCTACAACGCGCACGCACTAGGTTGCGCCCTAGAGCCGTCCGGGGTCGTCCGGGGCTAGGCACGTCGTGTGTGCATCGTGGGCGGGTCAATAATACATGGATATAAGGGAAAGGTCGTCCGTGTGAAGTAGAAATGGAAATAGAAGTGGAAGTGGGAGAGGGATAGAGGGGGAAGGGGTATGAAGGAGGGGTGCAGGGTGGGAGAAGGGGAACCGGGTGAGGTGGGCCCGGGTGGAGGCGGGTCAGGCGGGTGTGCCCTGACAGTTTTCAGCTTCTACAGTTATCGCTGTCAGGCCTAGCTTAACTGCACTCTCACAGTGCTGGTGAGCCAGTTTTTTTAGAGGGACAACAATAAAGGTGACACCGGATTTCTCATAGAGTGCTGGAAGGAAGAAAGTATATGTTTTTCCTGTCCCAGTTGCCGCAGTAGCTACGAGATTGCGTTTGGGAAATTGAAGGAGGTATTCCACAATTTCAGCTTGAAACCAGCAGGCATGTTTTGACCACCTTGTCAGGGACGCATCCGGGGTCGAGAGGGCCCGGGGTAATGTCCGGCACTGAGGCCGTCGCGGGGTGTGGAGCGGGCGTGTGTACTGGCGGGCCCGATCCAGGACAGTGGTCCCTGGCCACTCAGACTGAAGTGGAGAATGTGTTATTATTATTAAAGGGGAAAACTATACTACTTACCTGAAGTGGAGAATGTGAGAAGAAGGTTACTTCTTCGGTTCCCACTTCAGGTACATTTATGTACATGCGGCTTGAGTCACATGACGGGTGCCACGTCATCCTCGGAGGCAGCCGCAGGCATCCGGGTGTCCCCGTGGGGGATCCCGAGAGCGTCCACTGCATGCGCACGTGCTGGGCACAGCGGGAAGCCGTCCAGGGTGTGTGGGCCGGACGGGTCAATAGTACATCGATACAAAGGAAGGTGGTCCATGTAGATAGAAAGAAATAAACAGGAAGAGGAAGATGAGAAGAATGAAATAAAGAAAAGGGGAAAGAAGAGGGAGGAAGGAGGGGGGAGGGGGATAGACAGCGGGGAGTGGGTGTGGTGTGGCCGGGTGGGTCCGGGTGGACCCGGGTCAGGCGGGTGTGCCCTGACACACCTCTGTTCGCTTAGGACCCTTATTTGCTCTGCCGTTGGCTTAGCATTTATCATGGTGTCGGTTGCAGTCAGAGGGGATGCAGACATGGAGGGCGGGGGAGGGTGCCTAATTGGGCCAAGGATTAGCGCGGGAAACTTTGGGACGGAAAGTGCCGTAGCACTGCCATACTACATTTTGCCCCAGTCTGAGGAGCGAAGTGTCGCGGGCAAGTTTCGGAGTAGGTGATCGGCTATGTCTTTAACTCCGTACCATGTGATTTTTTGTATTGAGTACAGAACGTGACTTTAATGGCGGAAGCAAAACGTGAGAACATTTATTTACATTGCATAAAAAAGCTATTATTTTGCGC